TGTGTGTGTGTGTGTGTGCATGCATTTATGTATGCATTCTATTCCTTTAATCCTTTTAAGAACCACATGTCCTGAGAACAGTATTATGGCAAGGAGAAGAGTAGGTGAAAACCAGCAAAAATGTGCTCCTGTTGACCAGCTAAATGAAGATCTGGGTTATTCCCCGGCAGAAAGGTTTAGGGCTATGGTTACGCTTTGAATTAATGTTAGAACTATAGTAAGGTAGACATTGAATTTAGGCTCAGGTTTGTGGTTAGAAGTTAACTTCAGGCTTAAATCAAGGCCACTGAAATTGAGTTCATCTTTGCTGTGTGGTTTCATATCTTGTGTGAAGACCTTGTACTTGCTGCCCTGATACCAGCAACAAACTGAGAGACAAACAAATGGTTGTGTGGTATCACTGCAACACTGGTTTCAGTGCAAACTGACCCGATGACAGCTGTGGTTTAGTTTATATAATGCCAGTAGCAGAAATTCAAAGTAAACTTATCATTCCAGCTGAAACAAAACAGTCTTCAGATGATTTTTAAAAAATACAGGAGGTTAGAAGCTATGTTTTATAAAAGACTGATTCACATTCATACTCGCTCTTACCCACTTGTATACATATTATTATTGTTGTTGTTGTTATTAACATGACTCCTTTTCTAACTTGTGTATAGAAGAAGTTCCTCCCCTTTTTGCTTGCACCAGTAGATCTACTCCCATTAGTATAAGAAAATATTATCTATTGTGTTATAACAGTCACACTAGTTACATCACTATATTCAGATGGTAAATGTTTTGGCAATTTTGACTGAGTTGATATTTCTGGCTTCTATGTTGTAAATATTGTAAATAACATGATGTGTGGCGTGTACTGATGTGATTGATCGGCCTGGGACTCACATCAAGTGAAGCCTTATGTGTGGATCTTCTTGATGACATGTTGAATTTTAACTGATAAAGACTCTGAGTTTAAATGTTGCTTTTACAAATAAAATGTTTTATTTCTTTAGCAATAAATTGCAGTCTTGTCAAGTCAAATACGCTCAGATGGTTTTCCATCCATCCATCCATTATCTATATCACTTATCATGGAGCCGGGGGCGGGGGGCTTCCATTACAGCTTTAATTACTATGATCAGTAACCTATGTTTGTTAATTAGTTATTTTAAACAGATATTGTTGTTGAGCTGGCATTACTAACTCAGTCTGCTGACTTCATAACATGGCAATGCTCTATTTTACATAACAATTCTATAACAACTTGGGAATTATTTGGTATCTTTAAAAAAAGCTTTCTTCCCTAGTAAGTAGCACCAAATTACAAAGGTCTGTCTAGGACATTGTCATGAATTCATAAATAAATGACAGGCTTGTAAAATAAAACATCTTTTTTTGACTTGTGCTGCTCTTATGTTTTGCCATTTACCACTGTCCTCTTTGTCATTTGTTGGCCACAGAAGGTTATAGTTTCATAGTTTCACTTGTTACTTTAACTTGCCATGTTCACATAAAATATCACGTACCAAAAGAAAGGTTGGTGAGGAAAGTGCAGCTAATATTTACACCAAGATTGTATTTACTGTAAACACTCCCTATAGGTCTCAGCCACATAGCCTTAACCAGCCAGTACGACCAGGACACAGGTTAGTCATCCACATTTGACCCAAGTAGCCTTAATTCGTCAGAGGCATGTGACTGGCATTTACAACATCCAGCTGGATTCATCTGATCTGACACCATGAGGTGGAGCAGACACAAAACAATGAGTGTGCCAATAACCTGCTAACAGGAAGTCCTGTAAAATAAATATCCAGAATCCATCCAACACTTGTGGTGCTGTGACTAATGGTTTCATACAAAGCTGGCAGGACTTCCTGGAGAAGGAAAAAGAAAGGGGGTGTTACAGCTTGCAGAGGTTCTCAGATAAAAATTAAATACAGAAATAAAATCTTATGCTATGCTGGTAAGTTACAGAGTCTGTCCAGGGAAATTATAGCTCCTGTGTCCTTGAACTTAGCTAAACATCAAAAGGAGCTGATTAGAATCACTAAGTTATTAACACCTGCAGATAAACTGTGTAGAATGTCCCTACTTGGTATTTCAGCTGCTGTAGCATTGTAGGAATGTAAACAGGGAAGAGAAGGAGAGAAGAGGAACAGAAGGAAGGAGAAGAGAAAAAGAATGCTATAATGTCAATCCCCCCCCACTACTGTTCAGTACAAAAGCAGCAGAGCAGAGCTGAGCCTGCATGCCACTGGTCTGATCCCACACAAACACACCCTCACACGTCACACAGACAGACTCATCATAGAGCACCTACAGAGGCGCTGAAACTCAGACAAGTGCAGGGAGATGCTAGCAGCCGGCAACCTCTGAGTAAGTCCTCTTCTTTCTCTCTCAGTCTGTCATTGCAATTCTACAGCTGGTCTAAGTTCATTTATCTCCCACACTCTCCTCTGTCCCTGTGAAATGCCCAGTGTTTTCTCATACTAAGAGACTTTTCAAACTTTTCTCTCAGTATGCCATCCACATACCGTTCTCTCCTTTTGCTGCTTTTCTTTCTTTTCTCAGCATGTGAGTGGAGGCAGAAGTAAATCCTGGACTTATTTGCATGTTGGCACAGAGCCAGGACTGGATACTTTGTCTGTGTGTGTGTGTGTGTGTGTGAATAACGGACTCAGGTTGAAGTTGATCTGCTATATGTTAATTGTGTCCTTGTGTGATGTTGTTTTTCTGAAGCGTCTGTGTGCGTTGTTATTGTCTTTGATAAGTCTGGCATGTTTATGTCTTGATTTGAATATTTCCTTTATTACGTTCAAATGTATACCATTGATTATAGGAGCTGTGATGCAGATTTAAGACTCTTCTGGTATAGAAAGCTTTAGCAATTTGCCATTGAACAGGATGCTTTGTAGCAAATCTTCTTGTCAGCTATGGTGTATTTATATTGCTTTCAATCACATAGCCTCAAAGGGCTTTACAGCTTCTACATAATGAAACAATGAATAACCAAACTAAGCTGTCTAAATATTTTGAAATAAATGAACTGAAACTGCAGCAAATGTAGAATGTGGCTTAAGTTTTACTACTTACTCTGTAGGAGAAGATCAGAAACAGTAAGGCAGGAACCGAGTGGCTGCAATTTTCTCTTGATACTGGGTCAGAGATTTATGAGCAGCTGTGTTTTCAATACTGCATCATAATTCATTTGTAATTGTAAATATCCCTACAATACCTGCTTGAAGAAAGATGCTCTTTGTCTTTATTCTTTGCCTTTTTTAAAGGGAATAGTTTCACATATATTCGCTCTCTTGCCAAGAGTTGGGGTAGACGGTGATACCACACTCATGTCTGTTTACATCGGATGCTACATCTTAGCTTAATTTAACTTTGCCTAACTGTAAACAGGTGATAAATCCCCTAACCCCTAGTAAAACCACACCCTGTTGTTTTTACATTTCAGTTTATTTGAATTAAAAACACTAGATATACCTTAGCTTTTACAGTTTTTGTGCTAAGCTAAGCTAAACCAAGCTCCTAAAATGTTGAGCTGTTCCTTTAAATATAGAAAAACTCACACACAATCATGCTTTCTTTCCAGCTTTGTACATAAGAAATTTTCACCATTTTGCTTTCAGTCCTGCACCAGCTGTTGGAAACACCCAACTATTATTTTACATCCGTGTTTAAGCTGAAACCATAGAATTATTTTGTCTAGTGAAAAGCTTAGTGTAATTCTATGACTCAACTCTGGTACACTTGGCCATGCTTGAAACACCAGCTGAAAGGCTAATATTTCAACTTACTTTTATATTAGACTGCCCTCCAGTGCAGCTAAGTAAACCAGTTTCACAGAGACAAACCCTATTGGGTCTGGCTCAGAAGCTCCCTGCTTCAAATCTTTCAGGGCGGTGATCTTTCAGGGTATGCTTACACATTGTTTGAGGTAAAGGTTGTATTCTTGGATTTATTTCTTGAGAACTTCTAACTGGTCAGGCTACTGATACCTATGAGTGTCAAGTGTCACGTGCCTAGATAAGGTGCTAACAGTCGTAGTGGTGTGTGCACTCTCAGTGCAGAAATTCAGCTGAACTGAAGCTGTCTTTTGCTTTCTGTTTGTCTGTTACCCCCATATAGCATGCTGTCATTAACACCCCACCCTGTGTGTGTGTGTGTGTGTGTTGACATAGTGAATCTGTCCCTGTTTGCCAGCGTTTGAGAGCACAGCGGCATTCTCGCTGCCTACTGTGCTCAGAGTAAACATTGCATGCACAGACACACACTCACACACAGATTACAGTCAGCACTATGGCTTATTTGCTTAGGGCCTATTGTGCTCTGCCCGTCAGAACAGGACTGAATGAAGGGGAACAAAACAATAGAGTAGATATAATCTCTCTCTCTCATTTTCTCCCTCTCAAAACCACAGCACCAACCTTCAGAGCCCAGCTGATACAGACACACTGCACCTTCACCTCCAAAGAGGTCAACCCACTCCTACCGCACAAAGGACGAGCACCTGTCAAAGGGCACTTCAGTGACCTCTAGCAGTTACACTGTACCCGATCCCTCATCCTTTAAAGAAAAGGGAACCTGACTCTGAGTGGGGAAGGAAAAGGGAGTGATCATACCTCACCACTGAAACGCGACGCACTGGACAGGGAGACAGAGTGGCTGACGGCTGTCACTAGCGCCCGAGCAGCAGAGGCAAAATGCTGGCTAAAATTCTTGAAGACATGTGGGTAGAGCCAGAGGTGCTGGAGGCCCTCAGTGAGGAGCAGAAGAGGATCCTGTTCTTGAAGATGAGAGAGGAGCAGGTACGTCGCTGGAGAGAGCGAGAGGAGAGGGAGGGGAGAGAAGGCCGGAACAATAACAGCAGCAGGCCAAAGAAAGGTATGGTGGGTTTTTCAAACTGGTTATTCTGGTAGGATATACAGAGAACAAATATGCCTCTTTTTATTGCACTGCTGTATGAGTATGATTTCCAGAAAGCCAAAAGAGGAAAATACTGACTTAGCAACATATTTCTGTAGCAGGAAGGAGCAGTGTTTCTTGGGCCTTCACTTTGACAGTAACAACATAACTGACATGAGGCTAAAGGTGCTACTTCTAAAACTGTCTCATTTTTTTGGTGTCATAACTAATTTTACAAAGATGCATTATCTTAAATACCTTAAATCTGACATTTCTTCACCATAAAATATTTAAAAGTGCATTAAGTAAGATTTTACACACCCTCTGATCAGTTATGTGAAAACGGGACAGGATGTAGTGTCCTACTACCTCTTTCATGACAGTGTGCTGCCTATAGCGCTTCTGTTGTCATTCCAGCTTCTCTACCCTGTGTTGTGTAAATACAGTCTATAAATTAGTCCCACCTTCCAAGTAGCAAAGGTTTTGAATATGAGTAGCTCAGCAGCTGAAAGTTAGAAGCAGTGGCTGCCAGACTGAAGTGGTCACATTCTTTTTCACAGAGAGAGCAGGAAAAGGAAAGAGCAAAAACCAGAGTTATCATCTGTTTGGCTTTTTGTGCTGGAGTGTGTTTAAAGCAGTCAAAGGACTCAAACTTGGTTCAGTCATGGCATTCTGCCTTGTGGCTGTGTTATCATCTAAAGCTTATGTGTTTGTTTTGGTAACATTAGCGACGTAGCATGGTCATGATTTTACTTTTGTATTGAATTAATCTGCTTTTAATTTGGGAGCAATTTGAACTGTACTGGACTGTCAAATGTACATGTTAGCCAGCTAACACTAGCTTTGGACTGGAGGCTGCATTTTACATAGTTTGTTGAAACCAGGCATTTGTAGTTTATGTCAAATGCTGACTCACATAAATAAGTAGAACCAAATAATGCAGTCAAGGAGGTGGCACATTTCGTCATGTTTGGGTACTTTTCCTCTTTAAGTTCCAAAACGGTCCATTAGCCCTGGATTTCAGCTAAATGTCAGTCTATAGTGTCAATATCTCATCCTCCACTCCAGACCAGTTCAGGTAAAACAGCGTTGCAATTTTTGATGCGAGTGAATCAACCTCAATATCTTCCCTAAATGGGTAGCACATAAATGTAGCAACTGGCTCGAGTGAAGCAAAGTCCTGAAAGCATTTGTCAAACAAGTGTTAATCTGCTCTGTGTAGCAAGGCAATGTCAAATTGTGCACAGGCCTTCCGTTGCATCTCTAGCTCTAATGCGAGGTTTTGGAACTTCCCCCAAAAATGGTGCTGCAGCTTTGAGGAGAGATGTTGCATTTTTCATTTGAAAGTATTAACTAAGCTGATCATATTGACACATGATCTACCAACACTACCTTTGTGATCAACGTATTGGGCACCCCTGCTCTAGACCCTCTTGTCTCTCACCTGAGAATTACAGTTTAGCAGCATAGAGACTTTGGAATTGGATTAACACTGAAATAAATGAAAAGAAGGAAAAGTTAAACCAACATAAATTTTCCCTGAGATTTAGGTTGCTAGTCAAACATTTCTTCCAGAGGTGGGATAAAGCTGGAGGAAATTAAAATTTACAATCCCAGTTTCTGTAAAATTCTGGCTATGCCTATTGGCTATATTTTGAAAGTACTACTACTAATACCAATTACTGTGTTTTCACTGTAAATATAATTCAAAAGTATTGCTACTATTATGTTAACTTAATTTCAGCAACCATTTTTTGGATCAACAAATGTACAAAAGCAAAAATCTTTTAAGCTCTGATTGAGTAAGGATGTCCAGATACACTATGTAGTAACACCCTCTCAGGTTACAAGTCTCATTAATGTGCTTAGACCACACTCATCCAACTAAGGTTCAGTCTTTTCATTGCTTGGTAACCCCTGTGACCATCTGCTCTACCTTTTTGTTTTGGTCATTTCATCCACCCTCCTTCAATTTAAGGTATTTATCTGAATTACTGAGACCCTATCACCCACACTGATTCACCTGCACAATGGGAGAGTGTGTGTGTAATACTGTGTGTGTATGAGAGACAGATAGCGTCTGTCACCACCAGTCAAATCATTCCACAAGCTGAGAGCTGAATAAGATTGAGTAAGCCATGTGGTCTGGGGCGTCACCACATTTAAAGCATATATTAGGTTACCGTCTTTGTTTACCCAATCTCTCCCGTGTCACCTGAGAGGGTGGGAGTGTGTCTTGTGTGTGTGTATTTGCATTACACAGCCTACAGTACAATCCAGTGAAGTGTTTTTCATTCTTTGTTTACTGTGCTGAGAAAGACAATGCTCACATGTGCATATGGAGGCCTTTAAATGCCACATAAATACATAATTAAAGTCTCTCTGAATAAATACTTCTGGTACGAGCTGCATTTCTTGTTAATTTGTGGTTTGATTAGGGAAAGCACCTCAGTTCTGTAATAGAACTAGCCTCTGTATGTTGTTAGCACAGTTATACCTCAGTGAGGTGACTGAGTGAACATAAAGCTGTGATGCACAGACAGAACAAGACTTATGTCAGACATCGTCTTTGGCCAGGTGACATCATGCTGAGACACTTACACAATATACCCTTATAGCTGTGTGTGTGACAGTGCACAAACATGCAAGTCATTCCCCAGAATATGAAGCAACAGAGCTGCTTTTGTTATCTGGTCTCTAAGAAATCTGCACAGTCTGTTCACAGTGAAGAGGTGATTGTTTCACTCAGCTCCTACAGCATGTGTTCACTGAGTAAATAGTAAATCTATGTTGAGTTAGAGGTGGCAGGAAATCACTGGACTCTAAGGATTTGAACATTTAAGCCACTCCCCAGTCAGTGATGTCATGGCAGGTGTTTCATCTTTATCAGGTGCTGTCCTGTTGTCAGAAGCACCTGCTGTCACACACTGGTGAGGGGGGTTATTTTACCTACTAAGTCATGATGAGGAAACAAATAGAAAAAAACTCTTTTTTGTAATGGAGGAAAAGTGTTGGATTTGGAATTTATTTACTAGAAGAAGGACCTGGACATTATTGCAGAATAGTATACAACTCAAACTATATATTGACATTGCTATTGGTATAGCAACATTCTGATGTGAATGTTTTGCAGCGAAACACAGTGAATTTGCTCGAAATGAAATACAGAGGAAGGACACAAACAGGGAAAAAGAAGAGAAGACAGAGTGAATGTGAAAAAGTTTAACAGAGAAAGAGTGGCCAAAGGCAAGCTCGATACTTTTAGGACACCACCACCTTCTGGACAAAAGGCAGAATAACAATTTATATGGCAGCTTGATACTGATATTTTATCCCCAGGAAGCTTACCCATTTTGTTTTTCCTTTCCTTTTATTTTTCCCCTCCAGGTTCCCATAAACATGTGAGCTGGCTGCTCGGCTGGGATGGAGACGTGAGCGTCAGTATAATCAGAGAGGTGGATGAATTCAGATCCTCCAAACTCCTCCACAGTCTCATGAACAACAGGTGCACACAAAACACAGAGCACTCATGTTTTTTAAAATATGATTAGGAAGAGTGAAAACAGATTCTGTAACAACAACAGTCTCTGGTTCCAATGGATTTTTTGTATAGATATCAAATAACAAGAGTCATTTAGTTTCACAGCAGCAGATTGAAGCAGAGAAAGTTTAGCTGATTTTTAGGTTATGTAAAAAACAAGGACTAAGCTGAAACTAATAGGACTTATTTCTCAAAATGTGCAAACCATTAGACAGTGGAATAAGAATCATTTCTCCACCATGTTGAATAAACAGTTTCAGAGAAATGTGTCATTTATGTGGTTTCATTTGTAAGATCAGTTCTTCAACACTGTTGAGAACACAGCTGTAAACTCACATCTCGCATGCAGTAAATAATGCAGTTCATTGGGTTTTTAAATGTTTTTAAACATGACATAAAGTCATATTTTATAAGCATCTATTTTTTTAAGTGATGGACTGAAATCCCTTCTGCTTTGTCAGGTCAGTTCAGCCACATGTTTCTTAACCAACACACAAAAACAACATAGATTTCTATCACATTAATGAAGCTCCATTCAACAAATGACAACTCTGATTGGCTTTGATAATAGAAGTTACTGGGGCATTAATTCAAATGTTTGACAGTTGTCTCTGGGACTAAAATTGGACATCTTTGCCTTCCATACTGCACAGTGACCATATGAATGGCATCCAGACAGTGGAATTGCTGCCAGGAAGAGATGCCCAGCTGCCCTGCTTTAAAGAAGACATCCAGCTGCCCTTCACAGATGTTACTGTGAGTTCATGTGTTTATATGTGGGTTTGAAGTTTGGAAGGTAATCTGGCTGGTGTGTTAGAGTCTTACCATCATTTTGGGTCCCACTTAAACACAGGATGACGTGACTCCACCAAATGATCAGTCATCTGAACAGGACATGGACTCCTGCAGCACTGATGACAACATGAAGGAGCCTGCTGAGGACAGTGACAGTGGAACAGGCAGCAGCTCAGACAACCTCAGTGACTGGACTCCTCTCTACAGGTCCCATTTTAGTAGCTATGGCAACCAGCTGCCACTCAAAGCCCAGCTGTCAGAGAAAGCCGGCACACAAGCCAGAGGTGAGAAAACAAGACAGGAGAAAAGAAGTAGAGAGATGCCTGGTGCAGACTTATGTGTTTTTGTGTTCAAAAGTAAAAGTCTATGATAATCATTTACTGATTCTACTTGGGTATATGCTATAATGTAGCACTTGTCATAAATATAAAGTGTGTATAATTTGACCTGATGGTAATTTTTTTGTTAGAAAAAATTAAACAAAAATACACAGAAATATAACATAAATTGTGGTGGAAGAAGTACGCAGATACTTTATTTAACAGAGGTAGAAATACCGCCACACTGTAAATATACACTGTTTCTAGTAAATGTACTTACATATCAAAACAAATGGTAAACTTTATTGATCCCATGCAGGTAAACTGAAGTGTCACAGCAGAAATGCAAGAACAAATGCACAGCATATCTATGTAATTTAAAAAAATGTTGAATCTTATATCCAGTAGGGATGTCTACTTTATACAAAAGCATGACAAAAACAAAAATGAACGTTACTAAATACTATATAATCAAACAGTAGTGAATTTGAATGCAGAATAGCCCCTTTCATAGTGCTCTAATAAATATTTTATAACTGAATTATTACTGATGCATTAGGATATAATGCAGAGGACATAGGATATAGTGGACATAGTGTTTTAATGTGGGTATTGGTTGAAGCTAGCTGAAGTATAAATATTTAAATGATTTTATATATGTCTTAATGTGTTTTCCAGAATGTCGAGCCTGAAATACTTGACAATCCTAATAGTTACAGAGCTGTCAAATAAAACATGCAAATTGTCATCTCAAATGTGATCAAGTAAAAGTTTAAAGTAGTATAAAAACTACATGTACCTTGAAATTGCACTAGAGTACAATGTAAGAAAGTGTATAAAGTGTAATTATTTTCCATCACAGCTTATATCGAATGCAGTTAAAGTCTATATGCTTATATAATGCACTGTTAACAGAAAGGACATAACACTGAGCAGAAAAGTATAATTAAAAGTTCAGCAAAGAGGAAACATTGATTGTTAATGAAACTTGATGAATCTTCTTTCCTTTATGAAAAATAATATTTCTTTTCCATACTCGGCTGATGCTCACATTGTCTGCATGTCTGAACATGTTATCACACTGAACAAACAATATCTTATCATTTAGTCATTATAGATTCTGCCCCCTCTCCAGGCCTATACAGTAACTAGTGGATATTAGCAGGTTTTAATATTTTGGTTGCAACTGGTATTACCAGAATTTCAGGAATTCATTGTTTTGCTCTCTCTTCCTCTCAGAACTTCTGTGTTGTGATGAGAAGGAGTCAGAACATGGAAGCCGCGTGGCACAGCTAAGGAAGGCATTCAATGCAGATCCTCACAGCACAACACCAGTCTACCCCAAACCTCCTTTACCTGCCAAACCAGCACATCTACAGAAAAGAAGCACATCCCTGATCCATTAAAGCTCCTCGTGTGTCCACAACACTTGACCTCCAGAACACACTGTACTGAGTGGAACAAACCCTGTGCAAAAACAATGGCTCAGTTACACACTGATGGACCAGGCTGAGGCCATGTACACGTGAAGAAGAGGATACTTACTTGAACATGTCCAGGCAGATGGAGTGAAAGAAAGACTTGCAAGCTTTTACGCTCAAGTCAACCTGAATGATAAAATGAAGCAGCTTTGACATTGTTTCAAATACATTGCTTCTCTGATGCACACACACACACACCGAGACTACTGAGGGCACCGGTTCACTTAACAAGGCTGGTGGTTTGATGCCTTTCCAACATTATGTAGAGGTGTTCATGAGAAAGACCTTGATGCCCTGACTGTTTCTGGTGCTCAGGTTGGTGCTCATCAGTGTGTTCATAGGTGAACATACCACTCTGAGGAAAAAAGCACAATATACATAAGTCTGTTTATTGCTAAACATTATTCCCAAAAGCCCTGGATGAGTGGGGCTGTTGACTGTTGCTGTACTGGATGGAACAGTAACAGCTTTCATGCACTGTGGTTTGCACAGACCTCTACATAATGTTGGAAAGACATCAAACCACCAGCCTTGTTAATGACTAAATGACTTGATGTTTACCATATTATGTGGCACCTGAAACTGGAATCATCGATTTAATAGTGTGCTTTATACATAAATAATGTTTTGTGAATGAATGACAGGGTATGAAGGCCTCACAACTACAGCTATAGTTTTTAAAAACGGGCTGGGTAAGCCACAGAATGGACCTACACTAACAGATTTTAACGTAGATATTTTGTCTTCTCCAGCACATTAATGTGAAAGAAAAAAATCTAAGAGGTTAAAACCTGAGAACCTATTCCCATCAGTTTTAACTGTGCTTTAATCTATTTTGTGCTAATTACTTCATGATAGGATGTTAACAGACTTAACAGAATGGCAAACATGGTAAAAGCAATACTTGCTAAATAGCAACACATTAGCACGTCATTGTGAACATGTTAGCATGCCACCATTAGATTTAGCTTAAAGCAGCTCAGCTAGCCTCACAGAGCTGCTAGCATAGCTTAGAGTTGTACAAAGTGCCTTGATTTTATTGGACTAAAAGTGATATGACTTTAATCATATCCACATGACAACTGTAGGTTAATTTCTGATGTTGGAAACAGAAGTTTGACAGGAACTTCTTGTCACAAAGCCCATTGGCTCGTTTTTTCCAGAGCTTGTAGCCACCTCTCACATCTGTTATCATGTGACCTAAAACCACTATGTAGGTCATATGCTAACAAATAAGCCATCTCCATGACAACTGATACCACAACATGCACCTGAAAGCTTTGGAAACCAAATAAGTAGACCGTGTGATGCATATTCATTCAAATATTATATTATTATACTGAAGTCTACAACCCAATGGACTCCGTCATTGTTACCGTCTTCTCTCCTAGCTTGTTTGAGGGCTATTTTTACTCCTGTCTTGTTCTCCACAAAGAAAACATATGATCAGCTGGACTGAGATCCAGGTGACAGGCTTGAATGGGATAAAAAAAGCCACTTTAAAAAAGTCCTTAAAACCTGCTATATTTAGGATGACTGACCTGCACTGTGATAAAATTGAAGGCATTGTGTTGTGTCAGCCACTTTGAACATCTGAACATCCCCAAACGCTCCTACAGCTTTGAGTCAGCACTTTAACCCCATGGCCATTATTTAATTTTGTGTTGGAGTACAGACCTAACACAATGGCAAAACACATTCCTGGACACCAGATGCTAAAAACTATAGAAAGTCACAAAAGCATAGTAAGAATGGGTCTTAAAATGAGAGATGGAGCAGTACTTCCATTATTAAGGTTTGGAGTGTTTGAGCAATAGTTACTACATAACTATTTGGTCACATGTGTTAGGTATTTTTAGTCAGATAGATATTGGATAAATACTTTATGTATTAGAAATGTTTAGTGGAGATAGGATGTCTAGTTAGACTGTTAAATGCTTAGGCATGCTCATCAGTTTCTACAGGGTACATCTGGTCAAGGATAACTAGAGAGAAGAGTTGATGACTGTCAGCAGACAGGGTGTTTAATATTATTATTACGACGTGTATAACTGTAGCCTTAGCCATAATATGTTCTTATGTTTAAGTCACAACATGTTACTAGAGGTCGTGAGAATGTTTTTAGCTACACACCACTTAATCAACAGACACACACACATGCACATTGATTTGCTTCATGTTTTGACTACCGCTATGGCCAGCTGCAGAGCTGGTAACAGAGACGTCTCGGTTGACGTTTCTGTGTAGTATGGGGCTAGCCCAACCGAAGAGATAAATGTATAGGCCTGGTTTGGTTCAGGGTCTTTCATCTTACATCTGCCTGCGTGCAGTTTGGAGGTGCAAGATACCTGAGCGTGTGATGTTAATTTTACCTGTGATCCTTTGAATAAAGCAGCACTGTTTTGAAGTTACTTGGACTGTCTCGTCTCTCAGAGTTAGCAATGATAACAAGAACCATAGTTCTACACATGTTTTCATTACTTGGTCACTAATTCACTGCTAAAGCTTTGCTCCTGCTGACACTTTGACGTTTGTATGTTACCTTTTATTTGTAATGTGCATATGCCTAATGATGATAATGTCTGTTGCTGGTGTGGAAAAGAACAAATTAATAAAACTACTGGCTTACTCTTGTTTGCATTTGACCAAAATTTTGTCTGCTCATAGCTCAGACTGGGTTGGGTTTGCTGAAAGGAGAAGAGAGAGAAGTTGTTGATAGTGTTCACTTACACAGTGATTATCTATTCAGTGGGACGCATCAGAAAACAACCCATCAGAGATCAAACAGCACAGAGCACAGAAAGCTGATTAGCATGTGGTTTAGACTGAGACAGAGGGGGAGTTGCTTGGGAAGACAGAACAAATGGGAGTCAGGCCAAGGGAAGCAACACGTCACAGTCAACTCAATAAACCTCCTCACATCCCCTCACCACCTCCACACCCCAGGCCACAGAACTCTGCCTCTGTACTTCTGTATCTGAGTGGAAAGCATGTGTGTGTGTATGTGTGTCTGTCCACCCATATATCTTGAGTCATGTGACTTGACACAAGCAGTCATGCACACTGTGTGAAAAGCCCCGCTATATATAGCAGGGCCGTGTTGAGTTTCCCAGAAAAGCATTGTAGGAGTCTGATCATCTTTGTCCCACAAAACAGTGCATGTCATTGACTTATAATGTTTCTACTGTAGGTGTTAAGAGTCTACTGGTGTTCCTGCTTATTCTCTGTGAAGCCTGGAAGGTGAACTCTGCACATGAGAAACACTTCACTTTGGGCTCTTCATGTGTTGAATAAGTGCCTGTATGATGGTAAACTCTCAACAATGAAACCGAGGATTAGGTACTCTATGTCTGAGACAATTTCCATTGGGACAATAAACCATATCTTATCTGATCCTCTGAAGAAGTCAGTGTGAAGGGATATACTGAATCTGGAGAGGCTTTGTGTATACTTTTAAATAAGACCTCAGCGGTGTAGTCATTAGAGCTGTCTCTAAACGGTTATGGTTTTCCAATATGTTACCTTAATAATGGTGAATTAAAGTGTAAAAATTCTGGTTTAATTTAATGGTTTTGTGGGAAAACAAAATTTAACTTAAGATTTCCCTGTTTGGCTTCAAAAAACATGTATCTTTTTCTGTAAAGTTTGCTATTTGAAACAATTGTGGAAAATGTTCATGTTAGAAAAAATGTTGAATTTTTATTGTAAATATAATAATATTCCCCTCATCCTCAGGTCTGCCTTATGTTTAATGCTAATTAGCTAATATTAGCGTGCTAACAAAGTAAACTAAAGTAGTGAACATAGTCAAGACATATCTAGCCTATGGGTAAACATTATTCCTGCTTCACATCACCATGTTAGCATTATTATGAGCATGCTAGTGTTATGTATTTTTAGTCAGATAGAAATTGGATAGATACTTTATGTATTAGAAATGTTTAGTGGAGATAGGATGTCTAGTTAAACTGTTAAATGCTTAGTCATGCTCATCAGTTTCTACAGGGTACATCTGGTCAAGGATAACTAGAGAGAAGAGTTGATGACTGTCAGCAGACAGGGTGTTTAATATTATTATTATGACGTGTATAACTGTAGCCTTAGCCATAATATGTTCTTATGTTTAAGTCACGACATGTTACTAG